GGAAAGGAAAGGAAAGGAAAGGAAAGGAAAGGAAAGGAAAGGAAAGGGATGATGGTTCTCATCTATAAACCAGACCTTCTTCTCCTCCACCTCCTGAAAGGATGTGGAATTGGCTCACACACATACCTTGCACAGTTAGGTGCACCTGCATGGTCCTGGGGGTGTGCTGGGTCTGCACAGAGCAAGTGTAGGGCCCATCGTCGGTCACATCCACGTCCTGGATCTGCAGGCTGTACTCCCTCCTGTTGGCTGTGGCGATGGAAACCCGGGGATCCACCGACCACTTGTCACTGCCAGCAAAGATAATGCTTGACCGGTTCAGCCAGGCACCTTTAGAGGCTCCATCTTCCAAGTAACACCTGGGAAAAAAGTGAAACCATCAGGATGAAAATGTAGGAGCTGTAAAGTCCCATGCACTGCTACTGATTTTTAGACTGAACACAACTATAATATATCAGAGTTGAACCTCAAACTATGGATCAATTGTAAATTCGAAATCATCCTAAACCCAAAAGCCCATCTTACAACACAATAAACACACACATATTTTTCTGTTCTCTTCTTTCTTTCTGGTTTTCCTACTGGGAAAGGTTGGTGGAGCAGTAGCAAGAAAGTCTCAGTTATTTCTGACTGGGCTGAATCAGCCCTCTCTCCTCCAGCCCTGGCCCGTGAGCATCAGGAGCACAATGTGCTCCCATGAAAAATACTGCCCTGTTCCTAAGGCACAACCACCTCCTGCTTGCTTAGTGAGGGAACCAAGAGACTTCTTCCACCAAAATATATAAGGACACTGTAGAATCCAAACCATTTTTTTTCTCTTTTCAGAGAGTTCATGGAATCACAGAATTAGGGAATTGTTTGGACTGAAGGAACCTTAAAGCTCATCCAGTTCCACCCCCTGTCATGGGCAGGGACACCTTCCACTAGACCAGGTTGCTCCAAGCCCCGTCCAACCTGGCCTTGAACATTCCAGGGATGTGGAACTGTTGTCCCTCCCAACCCAAACCAGTCTGGGATATGATTCTCTGAAAACCAGTAAAGCCCAGCAGTGGCTGGAAAGAGAGGGGATAAAAGGACAGGGAGAACATGTGGAGAGAGCTTTATTTCCTGAGCTGATGGAGAGACTGAGCCAGTCTGCAGCAAGGTTAAGGATATTTAATGAGGAATCAACACCCACTGCACACTGTACTCCAGGTTTCCATGAAGAAGATGGCACCCAGCATGTGGGAAAAGGCAGAGATGGAGTCATGGCAGAGAAAAACCTTGATGGACTCGGGTTTGAGAGTAGGAATCTGCAAATCCAGGAGTAATCTGAGAATGATGCTGTAGGACTGGGAAATCTGCATTTCTTTCCATAAATTTAAGGAACTGTGGAGAATGAATGAGGCAGATTTTAGGCTCACCACCATGCCCACATTGGGAACGCAGGCTTTAAAATGACTTTAAAGGCTGAAGGAAGGTAATAAGGAAGGTAATACAAAGTGCAACAGACTAATGGGACATTTTTATTTGATAAAGAGGTTTTCACATAAAGGAAATCCAGCAGAAGAAAGGAATGCAATGGAGCTCATCTCTTTGATGAAACATTAAAATAGCACAACTATAGAAACTGGGAGGGGAAAAATGGTGATTTTGTGGCTTAAGCATCTGGCAGTATTGTTTAAGGGAAAAATGACATTCCTTTTAGGAATAAGAAACTAGAAACATGAGGCTGAAATTCTTCAGAAATGAATCATAAGAATAACCATTCATTTAATTAATGATCTCAACATTAAATCTGAAAGGGTTCTCAGAGAAGATACAACATGGGATAAAAAATCCCCGTTTGTATAGCACAGAATTGGGATGTCATTGGCGAGTGTCACTTTGAGGCTGAAGAGCACAGCAGATACCTCTGAATTCCTGCAGGAGGAATTCTGTAGGGTCTGGTCTCATTCAGAGAAGGCAAGGAGCCACTTTCAAAGTCTTATGAACATTTTCAAATCGATTCTAATCAACAGCAGAGTGGGGAGAAGCAGAGAAAGCTCTAATTCAATGATGTTTTTCTACACCTGTTTCTCTTCTGCTGCTGTCTCTGCAGAGCTGGATCCAGTCAATTACAGCAAATCTGAGAACCTGGGCTGGTGGAAGGTGTCCCTGCCCATGGCAAGGGGTGCAATGGGATGATCTGTGAGGTCCTTTCCAATCCAGGCCTTTCTATGATTCCGTGATTGTCCAGGCTGTGATGAAGCATGTGGTGGTATGTGAGAACATCTGTTTCAAACTAAACATTATCTCCAAATAAGGTGCTTTGCAAACAGATTAAATATTTCACCTCAGACAGGCTCCTTCAACAGCCCAAAGCTCTCCTCTCTTCACTTATTCAAACCCCATCCGTGTTCCCTCAGGCTGTGGGAGTGAAGTGATTTGGAAATGCTGCAGAATTTGGCTGGAATGTTTTGCACAGAATGGCTTTCAGATCCAGCAGCAGCCAGTGTGCTGTATTTTCCCACCATGCACGTGGGATGCGATGGATAAAGTGCATATTTACTCCATGGAAGCAGCAATCAAATGATTCATCTCAGAAATGTTTTCTAATCTAACAAATTTAATCCCTTGCAGTTTGCAAATCACTTTTCAGTTCCGAAAACACAGTTATTCCCTAAAACTGTTCCACAGGCAGCTCTGAGACCATGTCCCCCCATGTGAATCCCTGGCCAGCAGAGGCCATGCTGTAGTTACTGCTGGGGAGCAGAAATAAGAACAATTAAGGATTTGCCCCCTTTAAATGATGGCTTGGCTCTTCACCCCCATACCTTTAAAATCTCCTGTGAAAGAGCAGCTTTTAACATATGGTTTGTGTGACATAACCAAATGATTGGACGTGGATGAACAATTGCAAAGAATTAACACTGAGATCAATAAAAACACCAACCCCAGGCAATTCCATGGGATCTGAGCAGCACACATGGACTCTGTGACACCCCAGTCACCTTCATACCTAAGATCTGCCCGTCTCTGTGCTCCTCATTGCTCACAGGGTTCACCACTGGACAAACAGCTTCATTTTAACTAAGAACACTGGGTTTTATACTATTTTTTAAGCTGCAGATAAGAAATGATAACTCTGTATTATTTTCTGTGTACCAACATGAACACGGCATGGAGCTGTGTCAGGAGAGGTCTAAGCTGGATATCAGGAAAAGGTTCTTCCCCTCGAGGGTGGCTGGGCACTGAACAGGCTCCCCAGGGCAGTGGTCACAGCACCAAGGCTGACAGAGCTCAAGGAGTGTTTGGACAATGCTCTCAGAGACAGGGATTGTTGGGGTGTCCTGTGCAGGGCCAGGAGCTGGACTGAATGATCCCTGTGGGTCTCTTCCAAGTCAGGATATTCCATAATTCTATGATATCTGGAAACACATTGGCTCTTCTGACTGAAACCCTGCAATGGTGCAGCTCCTACAAGAAGATGGGGTGTGGAGCAATCTGGTCTGGTGGAAGGTGTCCCTGCCCATGGCAGGGGGTTGGAATGAGATGAGATTACAGTCCCCTCTGACCCAAACCATTATGGGATTCTATGAACTGCCTGCTCCACAGACACACTGTCCATGTCCAGGCCCCTCGGACTGGGGGATCAGAGCACACTTGGTGACAACCCCCTCATGAGTGAGGACTGGGGAGGAAAGGCAGCTGTGAAGAGGCAAGAACCCTTCAGAGCAACCCAGTGAGGAGTTCAGGGTCCCCAGCTGTGTGGATCCTGACTGCATCTTGCCATGCAGCCTGGGCAGTGAGATGCCCACATTCAGTGCCTGGAGTGCAGCTGCACAGAGCTGCCCAAAGTCCTCCCTGAGAACCTCTAGTTCCTTAAGGGAGCAGCAGGAAAGATGAGCAAAATGTGTTACAAACCCTAAAACAGGAATGGTTAAGTGAAGATTTAATAAAACCCTCAAATTTGGGTTTGTGCTCTGGAGCAATTTGCCCATTTGATCTTCCAAACCCCTCAGGGAGCTCAAACTCGAGTTTTCAGCCAACACGAGACATGAGGCTGAGCAGAGCTTCGATTTCATGGGAAGCTCCGAGGAGCTGGCAGCCTTCCAGTGCAATCCCCCGGGATGAGGCTGAGCCTCAAGCCAAGAGCCCAACTCCTCTTCATCTCCTGGTTGTGAGTGCCATAAATTCATTAATAATGGTCCCAGATCAAGGCACACACAAGGTCTGCGGGATCCCAGCACTGAAGGCCCACAGTGACAGGGCCAGGACTGTGGGACCTGGGGTCCATCACTGCCTGTCACAGGGAAAAAACTCAAGCCAAAGAATGCTGAGGTTTAATAAAGTCCAAGATTAAAACACTTCCTCTGGTAATCTATGGGAAATAATTTATTTAAAAGCAAATATCAGTGGCCTTCCCTCTCTTCTCCCTTTCCCTCTCTTCCCCCTTTCCTCTCTTTCCTTGAATTCTGTTTGTTTTTAAAGTCATGACAGCATTTCCTGCAAAGCAATTTTTGAAATCTATGCATAGGACTAATTATTTTTAGCAGTTAATAATTACACTGTAGCACAATTAAAGTAAGCATAACAATCATTAAATGAAAGTAACTTTTGCTCTTTTACCTTTATATGGTTTGGAAAACTATTGATGAAACCAGAGCTGAACTAAGAAGAGAATTCTTCTATTTTTAAACTTGGAAGATTGGAAAAAAATACAATTTATTTTTTAACTGATGATTGTAATCAGAAATTCCCTACTCAACAAGCATAAAAAATAGATTTTAATGTTAACTGTCATACACGGCTGAGGGTACTTTATTATTTTTCCAATCATTATTAATGGGGATGATCTTCTGTAATTTGTAAGTACAGAAAAATTGAGTCTCACCCAGCTTCCTTCAAGTTTTTAATTCTCTTTTTTTTACACCTCCCTCTTTCCCAGCTCTCTAGTCTATTATTTCCCCATAATTAAAACAGAGACCTATTAATCTCTGTAAAAAACAGTTCTTTGCAGTTGCTTAATTAAAGCAGCACATGGGCTCTGTCTCCAGGAGCCCTCGCAGTGCACCAGGGCCGGGGCTCCCAGGTGGCAGCCCCTGAAGGACAATGCATGGAAATGCACGTGGAGCCTTCCCACATTCCATAGAGCACAGGAATGCGGGACACTTGTCCATCTCCAAATAGCCTTTGATTCCCTCTGGTTTAAGGATAGTGCTTCTGGATAGTGCTTGGGCAGTGTTTAACAGGAAAATAATCTTAGAATCCCAGAGTGGTTTGGGTTGGGAAGGACCTTAAAGCTCACCTAGTTCCACCCCCTCCCATGGGCAGGGACACCTTCCACTAGACCAGGTTGCTCCAGGCCCCAGCCACATGGCCTTGGACACTTTCAGGG